CTCATGTTCTTGTTTAGCATCCAGTGCCCTTCTGCAAGAACAACTAAGTTTTACATGCATTAGAGACAGCATGAAACCAAAGTCCGCCCGTGTCCAGCACAATGATGTGGAACTCATCTTATGCAAGGAGTGTGTGGTTACATGAGCTTTGTGTAGGAGCTCTATAACAGCAAAACTGTACCATGTGTCTTGAGGAGGTCTAGAAAAGGATGTGTAACGTCTCTGAACTGCCAACTGGTACCTGTGCTTTTCTTAGTGATAATTAGACCTTATTATCTATGTCTTGTTTCTGGATCAGCTTCTTAATAAAATAAGATGTTATGTGTGCGCATCAGGAATTGGCAGGTCCCTCTTTAGTTTCAGTAGCTAAGCTTGCTGTTCTCTCAGCGCTTCAGGGTTCCACTTGCACCAGGAGTAGCAGCCCTCTAGGTTGGACTTCATGTGAAGACTTTGTATCAGTTTAAACAAAGCTGTGGTTCCATACATCCGTTTTCAGTGGTGAAACTAGTTCAGGACATTCCTGGCCCCACACCACATGCTGGGGAGCTGGACCACAACGTGCAGCTCTACAACTAGTTTTACTGGCACACATGAAGAGGTGTTTTGTAGCAGGGCAGGGAGACGCACTGGCTGAAATTGCTTCCAGATCCACTGAAAACATGGCACTGCCTCCTCCTGCTAGTTCAGCAGGCATAGTTAAAATACTGCAAATCCCTTCATAGAAACACTTCAGAAGCTGAAAATCCAGGAGCCCCATTGGCTATACAAGACTTGCCTGTTTTCATTCTTGCCCCAAGCTGGGAAACTCTCTCATCCTCATGGATAAACAGATCTAAACTCCTGGAGATAAATATATATATATTTTTTAAATGTAGAAAACAGAACAAACAAAAATCTGTATTTTGCTAAAGTAACACAATGCCTTACAGCTGCAAATGACACTGCTTACTTCGGTTATATTTATGGGCTCTTTGGAGACTTCTGGGCAAGAGCAGCTTTGCAGATCTAATACATGGGCATCATCACACATACTACTGTGCAGGAGAAGCACAGTCCCAGTCAGATGCTTCTCTCCTGAGACAACCTGCAACAGTATTGCAACCAGGTCAGCTAGTGTCAGTCATTTCAGTAACTGGCAGAGGATTTCCATCCCTGCATTTTTATCTGCAGTGACTCCCTTGCTGCCAGTAGCAGCTACAGCTCTGGATATGAGAAGAATCAGCTTTGCAAGATTAAATTTGAGTGGCTCTCAACACACCATCATTGATTTCAGCACATGGCTGGCCCCACAAGTCAGTGGTATTTCTTTGCTGCAAGGTAAAACGGAACCGTTCGAATGTCACACCCAGCTGACCAATTTCAAGGAACGATATTGGTATTGGCAGAGAGTTACTTATTGACTGATGGAAGTGGAGAGGACAGAATTTGGTTAACAAAAGCAGTTGAAGGGATTAAAAATTGGTGGTAACCATTAACAAATTCCATCAAAATGATACAGCTCTGCTGATTCTCCTGTTCCAGTTGTAAAAAGTTGATCATAGAATCATAGAATAGTTTGGGTTGAAAGGGACCTTCAAAGATCATCTAGCCCAACACCCCTGCAATGATCAGGGACATCTTCAACTAGATCAGGTTGCCCAGAACCACATTCTGCCTGGTCTTGAATGTCTCCAGGTATGGCACATCCACCATCTATCTGGGCAATCTGTGCCAGTATTTTATCACCCTCATTGTAAAGAACTTCTTCCTCACATCCAGCCTGAATCTCCCCTCTTCTAGTTTAAAACCATCACCACCCATCCTATGCCCTTTAGCAGGGCAACAAGCCCTGCTAAAATGTCTCTCCCTGTCTTTCTAATACACTCCTTCAGTAAGAGCTGAAAGGCTGCAATAAGGTGTCCCTGGAGTCTTCTGTTCTGCAGGCTGAACAATCCCAAGTTTCCTAGTCTTTCTTCTTAGGGGACGTGCTCCAACCCCCTGATCATTTCTGTGGCCCTTCTCTGAACCCTCTCCAGCAGGTCCATATTCTGAAGGAAAACATGAGCACAGATGGCAAGAGTGGGATACAGGTGGGAGACCTGGCACAGACCAAAGGTCTGTGCAGGAAAAGATAATGGAGTGGTACTGGGGTGAACTGGAGACACTCCTATGGAGGAATAAAGCATGCTGGGAGACGTGGAACTCACAGGAAAAAAATGGAGACAGCAAGATGTACAAAGTCACAGGTTTCTTCAACATAAATTGGGAATAAGCTTTGGGAATGTGGGGGAAATAAATAAGAGGGCCCACAGATCTCTTGCCATGGTCAGGGGGTGGTGTTAAGACCAACTCCATGGCACAAAGGAACGTGTGAGTAGTTTCAAAAATGGCCTGAAACAAAGTGGCACAAAAGGACACATGGTGGGAAACCAGAACTAATACAAAAAGAGCAGAAAAATAGTTTAATGGAGATTAGCAAAAGGGATGGAAGTTAGGCAGATAGCAGGTGGGAAACAGGAGTATCAGAGGAGAGAAATACAGCAACAAGAAGCTGGGAGGAGCCTTGAGAGGTCATCATCCCTAAAGTGCCCTAGTATATTCCTGTAAGCAACAACACTGATGTCATCTGGAAGGTGACACACATGCAAAGACTGTGCTTAACCAGGCCTGGGATAATGAACAAACAGCCAGGGAGAAGAATCCAGCATGGGAGTAAAATGCCAGAGGCCTGGGCACCACAACCCAGGAACCTGACCAACTGGTGGATGTTGTCAGACCAGATACTGCAGGCATGAAAGAAAGAGGGTGGAATGGTAACTGTGACTGGAAAACAGGCATTTTAGGAAATGTGTTACCCAAGAAAGAGAAAAATAAAAGGTAACAGCACCACAGTAGCAATTAGTGGCAAACAGCTTCCACAATAAATAAGTAAAACATAAAACCATTAATTTAATGAAGAACTTAAAAGACTCAATGGGAATTAAAAATACTTTTAGGGTACAACTTAACCTGTGAAAGGAATTACTATGTGTCATGGCAGCCTGCTGTAGCAAAAAGCTGGGGAGTCTGATGCTCACAGAAAGAGTCAGAACAGGATGAGATAATAAGGCATAAGAGGGGAAAAAAAGAAATGCATATGCCAGAGCACAACAAATCACACTTAAAGGAACAGGGACCCATCCAAAAATTGCTCTCACAAAGATAAGGGCTGCATCTCCAAAGCCAAGCAAGCTTTGGGAAGGAAGCCATCTGGAATGGATAATGACATTTCACTGGAAGATGACCAGCCAACCAAACAGGCACTGTCTGCCTGGCAGGCTCCAGGGTGGAGTCATTGCAGAACTGTACCCCTGGACTTCTTTACTAAAGTAGAAAATCTTTTTTAAGATGTTGCACTAAACTAAGACCTGAAAGGGAAACCGTGCAAAGAATTCCTCTATACCCTTGAATCCCAGGCTGGGCATAGGTCACAAAGCAAAAACTCCCCGTGCAAGAACCAGCCCCACTCCTCAGGTATCAAGTACAGATTGGCTGCAAACCCACTTAGGACACATGTCCCAGTGCTCTGCTTCACCTGTGTTTTACTCAGCACATCAGAAAGTCAGAAGACAAACATGCAAAGAAAACCAGGCATTCTAACCCTCCAACAAATGGGGCACTTTTGATGCTGTCTTTACCCCTCAAATTGCAGTATCTGCTATCAGTGAATGCCATTTTTGAAATCTTATACCAGAAAGGGGTGAAAATTACTCCAGTCACCCTGTGTCATGTGAAGACTGTTGAAGCATGTAAACAAAGGAGTTCTGTGCAGTCACTGCAGAAAGCCCCACGCTGCACTAGGGCAGGCCCAGGGTGATAGGAATAAGGAGATCCACACACACCTCCTCTCCTCCTTTCCTGCCTAACCAACAACACATATGCAGTAAGGAAAGCTGTGAGCCTGCACCAGCACAAAGAATGGCGATGAAGGATGGGACAGCGTGCACCAGCATCTGAAGGAAAATTTAGAGAAGCAGCATCCGTATTAGGTCGGAAGGACAAAACCGGGGTCCTAAAAAACTAAGTGTCCTACAGGATTTCCTTAGGGAAAGTTAGCGTGAGTTGTTTACCCTGCATTCACTGACTTTTCCGGTTGTCATTTAAAAAAAAATAAAATAAATCAGGTTTTGAGCAATACGCATTTGAAACAGAAATTTCACGGTGAAAAAATGATCACCAGGAGAAGGCTGTTGTCACAAGGACCAGAATCACCACCGTTCATCGAAGGAAGCCTGTGACACGACTACATCCGCCGTGCCGGGGCGGCACAGAAGCTTCCGCGCCGCTGCCCTAAGCGCGACAGAGGAAAATATCCCGCTGCCCGCAGCCAGATCCCCAGCACCAGTTCCTCCCGGCGGCCCTCGACGGCCGCGCTCGCCTCCCCTCCCTTTCCGTCCAGGCTGACGGAGCTGCGGGCGAACCTGCTCTGCCCTCCCACGACATGTCCCGACAAGAGCGGGAGGCCGCGCCCGTGCCCGCTGCGCTCCGCCGCCCCGTCGGTGAGGAGTGGCACCTTCCCGGGCAGCGCGCCCCGACGGCGGGAGGCACAGCCCTGCAGGCTCCGGGCCGCTGTCGGTAGCTCCCGCGGCGGCTGCGGACGGCACGTCCACAGTCCCGGCACCGCGCCGGGCGCCCCGCCCGCAATCACGGCGCCCCACTCCGCCGGCCGCCCCGCCGCGCTTGCCACGTCCCTTCTCGGCGGGGCCAATGGGCGGGCGGCGCCAGGTGTGTGCTACCTGCACCACGTGGGGCGGGGGCTGGGCAGGTAGGGCCGCGGCCCCGCGCTGAAAAGCCCGCAGCCATTGCACGCTTCCCATCGGTGCAGCCGGCTTGGGAGCGGCCGCCGCCCGCCCCGGGACAGCGAGGGGGGAGAGCGGCAGTGTGCACCTCCCTCGCCGGCACCTGGGCAGCGAACCTGCCTTTCGCTTGGAAGGGCCTCGGGCAAGGAAAGTTTCTGGCCTCTTCCTCCTCTTCCCCCCCCCCTTTTCGTTTTCTCTCCCCACCTTTCCCCGTTTCCCCCTTTCTTATTCTTCCCGCTGGCCCGGTGGCACCATGACGGCATCTCCCGACTACTTGGTGATCCTCTTCGTGACCACGTCTGGAAACAACGGGTCAAGGCTGGGCTCGGATGAGCGGGAGCTGCTCCAGCTCCTGTGGAAAGTGGTCGACCTGAGGAGTAAGGAGGTATTTTCCCGCGAGGGAGGGCACCCCGACCTGCTGCTCCCCTTGGCCCTGCTGTGCTGGGTACAGGCGGGACAGCCCCAGCACTGGGCTGGCAGTGAGTCCCCCAGGGAAGGGGCCGGTGCTGCAGGTGGGGACCTTCAGGCTGGGGAGCTGACTCACCCACTCTCTGCTTTTTCTGAAGCTGGGGCACCTGCATGATGTGCTGGTCCGGCCTGACCACCTGGAGCTGACAGCTGAGTGCCAGGAGATCACCCAAGTGGATGTGGAGAGCCTGACACTGGCTCCACCGCTGGAGCAGGCTTTGAGACAGGTGACACCCCATAACTGGTTGCTGGGTGCTGGTCTTCCTTGGGGGCTTTCTGGTGCGGTAGAGGCAGTGTTACCCGTTTATCGTTTCCGCCATCACAGTTATTGGGGCAGTGCTGTCTGGCACAGAGGCACCACAGACATACATGTGACAGGCAACCTGGTCTATGGTGGGTTTTGTGGGGATTTCCCCCTTGTGTTTTGCTCATTCACTTTGGGAGGGACTGAACACCAAGAGAGGAAGGTCAGGTATCTCTCTACCCTGGTCTCCTGCCATGCTAGACCCTTGAGCCTCAGCTGAGGGTGAGCCCCAATTGGTGTTGAAAGAGGCCAAGTTTAGGTGCGCCTGAAAAGGTTGGGTGATGGCATGCCTTGCTTATGCTTGTGGTGGCTCATCAGTCTGGGAAAGGAAACAATATTAAAGCCTCTATATAAGTAGAAAAATGTGCATGATTTTCATCGAGGAAAGGACAGAAACACCATCTCCTTTTCAACATGCTTGAGTGCCCTGTCTGAAAGGCTTCTCTGCCATGGTGTTCCCATAGTTCTCTGCAGCTGGCTTTATGTCTCCTTGCAGTGCTCTTGCAAATGCTTCTGGAAAAGAATTGAGGGGCTTCCTGTAATGTAGACATGCCTCATTAGAAGTGGGGAATAGGGTCCATTTCCTTGTGAAAATAATATAATAAAAGTTATTATGTGTTCAGATAGTAAGAAACAAATCTACAGAAGTGACAGGCTAGGTTTGTACAAAAAGGAATTCTAGCGCTATGTTCCTGCTGCCCTGGAATAATATTGTCAACAGCAGATGACGCTGCCTGGCACAGCCACTTTTGTCTTTTACATGTGTCTTTTGTTGTTCCTGCTTTCAGTTTAATCAATCTGTGAGCAATGAATTGAACATTGGTGTAGGTACTTCGTTCTGTTTCTGTACTGATGGGCAGCTGCACATTAGGCAAGTTCTGCATCCTGAAGCTTCCAAGAAGGTATGTAGTTGTAGTTTCAGTTTGACTTTTAGCGTGCTTTATATGATTTCTTGCAAAATTGGGCAATTTCCCTTTAGTATGAGAGTGCCTCCACACAACTGTTTTGCAAACATTGCTTGTGTGTTAATATGCTTACCGAACTGAAGAGCTTGTCCATGGGAAAGGCACAGACAATGCCTTCTGCTTATGTGTTTGAGAAAGGAACAATGCATTGACAGAGTACTTGTAGCTACAATGGGTTAATAAATGGGATGTGGAAGCATTGCCAAATAGTTAACTACTTGAATCATAAATTGTCTTTTGATATGTTACATTCACCTTTAGCTTCAGCAGCTTTCAATCTTTATGTAGTCAGTTGAAGCTCTGAGGGTGGTGCTCATATTTGTAAGGAGCTGAACAGTAGTTTGAGGCAGGCTATGAGTGATGACTAGTCCCATATTCTAGAGTTTTCTATGCCCTCAGACTTGCCAAATTGCTAACAGTATTATGAGGTCCTGCCCACTTTTCATTAGTGATAGGGTTGCTGCAATATGCTGAGTCTCTAGTCCTGAAATAACTGCTTCAATCATTTTGTGGTTTGCTATAGACATGCATTACTTTGTTACTGAGCTGTTCTGCTCCTTTCATTGCAGCTGACCTCTGTGCCCATCAATTTGTTGCTTCACCTTTGAAGGGGCACTGCTGCAAGTTTGTGTTGTTACAGAGCTGATATTGGATGAGCTTGGCTTTAATACTTACTGGTGCTCTAAGTATTTATATCTTTGGTTAAGAAGAGAAACAGTGAGCATGATTCATAATGAATAGCGGGTCCTTAGATATGTAACTTGTCCTGGAGTATAATGTGATAAAATGTAGAAATGGGCTTTTAACAGACTTTCTTCTCGCTTGCAATGGTTATGTGGTTTATACAGTTAACCCTTTATGTGCATAACTTAACTGCAGGCAAAGAAGGGACAGCTCCTATGATTATTTAAATTTGTCTGGTGTCAGGGGTAAGCATCCTTTTTCTTTATCATCACAGGGTCACTGATAGGAATCAAATCTTCATCAAAATGTTCTGTTGCAGTTTTGTTAAGAATTATTCATTTGAAAGCTGCTCTCTGCTGCCTATAGGTTAAGTAAACCAGGTGCTTATGAGACCCGTGATAGTGCTTTGGTGAATCCTAAAGATGGGGTAGCAGGGTCACTGAAATTCAGATAGGCAAAAAAAAATCACTGGACTTCTTGGATTGTATTTCTCTTTTAAGATTGCTAGTCTGAAGCAATCTAGCAGCTCATGGAATTCAGAGAACGAATTGGCATCAACTGCTCCAACTGAATCAGTGAAGTACAGAACTTGGTCACTTCTTGAGGAAGAATAGCCATGCTAAAACCAGGGCAGGAAGTCTTGGCAAGCACACCTCCATTTTCATAAGTTTGTCTTTAAAGAGTATCGTTTGCCTAATGCATCTGTCCATATGCTAACATGTTCTTAAAGCAGAACTTGTTTCAGACTTATTTCTTTGAGCTCCTTAAATGTGCTTTCACGTATCTTGTCGTTCTGTTAGAATGCCGAGATGCTAAGTAGTTGTTAAATCACAGAAAGCCCCTGCTTTTGGTCTAGAAAGATATTGCAGGCAACAAACAGCCAAGTGGAATACAAAATGTTGTGCCTGTAGAGAAGCTCTGGCTTCATATGCTGCAATTAAAGCAGTTACCATGCCTAGACTGACAACCTCTGTGCCATATCAAACCCTCATCTGCACACAGTTGGCTTTTATCCTAGTTTTAGTTGGGGTTTTTATGTGTTGTTTTTGGGGGTTTGTTTTTAGTTTTGGTTTAAGGAATAAGTATTTGAAGTGTGACTATTCTTTGAAAACTCAGACTTGTCTATAAACCAAAACATCTTCTGCTAGTCTTGCAAAATTTACTTGGCTCTATAAACTGAACTGCATGCCCTCTGGCTTTTTACAGTTAAAATTGAATCAAGAATTGATGAATTTTGCAATAGCAGGCATTTGCTCTCCTATGTATATATTGGATTTAAAGCACTAATAATAATAGCAAGCGTTTCTCTGGCAGTGAAAAAGCACATTTCTCTTTTTAAACCACATAGAGAAAGCTGCTTAAGCAAAAAAAAGTTCATAAACATACTTAGGAGGCTAAGAAGAGCTATATGAGTTTCTCTGTAGCAAAGACTTTGTGTTTCATGCCCACATAAGCAACTTGTTATAAAGTTTTAGTATCTAAAGACAAAGTAGATTAAGTTTACCCAGGTTGACAGCATAACTTTGTCCTTTTACAGAATATCTTGCTGCCTGAATGCTTCTACTCCTTTTTTGACTTGCGTAAGGAGTTCAAGAAGTGTTGCCCTGGCTCACCTGATGTTAGCAAACTGGATGTTGCAGCCATGATAGAATGTATCCTTTTAACAGTGGTAGTGTCTACTGCTCTTACAGTTTTGCCTGGGTTTTAGGACTGAGATGGGTGAGTAATGCTTGCAACACATGTTCAAGAGTGGTATAACTTTAATGAGTGACTCTGAGCTGTACTGAGCTTTCTCATAAAGATAAAAACATATGAGGATGCATGCTCCCATGGGAGGGAAATCCTGTATTCTTGATTTCTGTATGTTTTCTTTACTACGTTCATAGTTTTGTCTCTAAACTTCACAGTTTAGTGCATCTGGCATGTTGTTCATATGGCCAATATGAATCCTAATTTAAGTTGTGAGGTTGATTGTCACATCGGTTAGGTTGTTGGCTGTTTTTTTGGTTTTGTTTTTTTTTTTTTAGTGAGGATGTCTTAATTTTTAGGAAGGGGACCAGTTATTCTGGTTGTGAACCTCTTTGATTCAGGGTGAACCTAAAGCAGGGAATGTGATTGGCACATTATCTATGGCACATTATGTAGATGTGGATTTTCTTGGTGCTTAACCATAAGGTTGAATACTGGAGGCTGTCTGCTCTGCTTTGCCTTCTGCAAATTAAGATTAATCTCCCATAGTGAAGGGGTAGAAATCACTTCTTCCCTGACTTTGAAGCAAAGCAATACAGTTAGTGTAGGAGTGTGAATTTTTATGTAAAAAAGCAAAGTAAATGCTTGTGTTGCATAATCTAGAAGCTGGATGATGGAGGCTTTTTAAAGTTTTGGTCAAAAACTTACTACATTGTTCAGGGAGGCTTTGATATGGAGCTGGAGAAGTCTATTAAAGACAATGAGCTACTTCAGCTGTTTTGGAGAGATGCCTTTGCTTTCTGTGTTTATGTCTTGGTACTGTGGAACTAGTAATACAACCGTAGCAACCTGAAGCATTGCTGGTCGGCTAAGGCACAGTGACAGGCTGTGTATTCCCTGCCTGCTGGCAGACCACCTTATGTTACCTGACTGTCAAGAAGCCCCTGAAGAGTCAGTACGATCTAAGGGTGGGTTTGGCAGCTGCCAACAGTATTTCCTCCATGTTGCTTGAGGCTTGATCAGTTTATGTGAGCATGCTCAGCTTGAGTGTGAATTCTGTGTCCGATATGCTTCTTAAGGTATATAAACCTAAATTGCTCTATTCTGGTTTTATCTTAGTCTTTGTGGTTTGATTTGTTGTGTAACTGCTGATTTGTAACTGATGGTCTCATCTGTAAACTTGTCATGTTTCTGTAACATAGCTGAAATTAACTGTGCCTATATCGCTTGAGAGTGTTGGGGTGGAGGATGCAGAGACCAAAAAGGTAAAATAACTTTTTATTTCCTTTTATTGACAAATATGATAATTTTATTTCTCCTCACCTTGATGAAATCTGCCGACTTCATCTCCTTGCTGTCAGAAGTGGTAGAATTTAATTGCACTTGGAGAGTCTGGACATGCATGTAGTGCTTGGGATTAAAAAAATAATTGCTGAAGCAGGTGCTAAGTGCAAAGACTAGTTCAAACAGTTTTGTGCAGAGGTTTGTTTTTTTTCATAAGCTGCTTTCCTCCCAAGACAGTTATGTAGCAAAGAGAATGTCTAAATGAAAAGTAACTTGGATTTGAAGCAGATATGCTGGGGTGAGGACACAAAAACAAATGGAGTAGGTTGGAATGAAGTTGCAGATTCATGTGTAGAATATGACAAAGCTCTTCTACTCTTGTAGAAGGTGGATATTTTCCACCCCATAGCTAAAGGGACTGCATGAAGGAAGTTTTCCATGATTTGTGCCACACAAACTATACTGGTCCAGGTTTGTTGGTTTTCTTAGTGGGTATAGAAGGTTTTTGTCTATGGGTAGTGTACTGACTGGAGATGCAGAAGACTTGCATTTAGAGACTGGTAGAATTGGAATGGTCCTGGGCACATCCATTTGTGTACTTGCAACAGCTCCATTTACCTGAAAGTAAGATGGCTGTAATCAGTGAACAGAAGCTTGTGTGATGTGAAAGTTAGGGGAAAGCTGGGTATTGCTGTACAGTCATTTAAATTATTAGGAGTAGTCAAAAAGCTTTTCTTTTGATGGGTATCATTTGATTAAACAGATTACAAACAAACGGAGAATGTGCTCCCAACAGTAGGGTCAATAATTGCTGTCTGTACAGTCATTCAGGGTGTATAATCCAGTGTATAACACTGCATAGTTGTTGCTTGGTTATGTATTTCTTGTGGACAAGGCAAGAACAGTCTTGAAAAATAGCATAGAGATCTTAAACCAACTAATCAGCTGGGTTATTCTTCCTTTACAAGATTCTTTTTGGAACTTACTGTTTCCATGAACTACTTGAAATTCTGTACAGCAAGGAAACTATTCCAAATCCAAGAGCTTAGGTGAAAGCTTTACATCACCCCTCCCCAAGAAACTATACATTTCTTGAGCAAACCCCCACTGATTTATTTTAATTAAAGGTAAGGAAATGTTTAAAATGCCATGGAATATGAGGGACTGAGGAAGAACTGATGCTAGTTGTAACTTATCTCTGGGTGCTACTGCTACCTACCTGACTTACAGTCTTGAAACAGGTTTTAGTGTAGGAGTCAGTCTTCTGGCAGACTTAGTGTTGTGCAAGAGTAGCAACAGCAGAACAATTACAAGAAATTTAAAGTAAAAAAATGGAGAGAAGCTATCACATTCCTGCAGAGAGGAACTCAGGGCCGTGGAAATCTTCTCTCCCGCCCCCCCATGTGTAAGTATACAGAAGGAGCAGGGCTGTTCTTGCACCCTCTGTACCTCCCATACTTGCTGCACTTCTTGATTTGCAAAGCTTGCTGAGCCAGTTTTCACCCTGTGAGTGCCTTGAGGGTGGAGTGAACAAAGCTTGCATGACTATTCGTATTAGATCTGCAGAAGACTCATCCTTTGCCTCAAGATTGGGTGTGCAGAAGCTATTAAATGGCAAATACCTCGTGCTTCCTCCAGTAGGTGGTTTGCTCCACTTGCTTCTGAACTGTATTTCTGAGGATAACTCTTTACTAGGAACATCTGCTGGCTGCTGTCAGTAGAAATACAGGCATACTTCAGACCAGCCTGCTTAATGTGCTGAATACAATCTGGATACTGCAACACTGAAAATTGGTTTTGTTGGCTTTTTTGACTTTTTTTGGTTTGGCTTGGTTTGTGTGGTCTTTTGTGGGTGGTTGGTTTTTTTTTTGCTTTTTTTGTTTTGTTTTTAACTTGGCTGCCCTGGAAACAGTGATGTGGAGCAGTTATAACCAATGTATGTAAGTGGCAATAAAAATCCTGCTACTGGGTATTACATGAGAATCTTGCATATTGCTATTAGTATTTCCTGTACCCAGGAACTGAGTAATATCAGATTACATTTATGCAAACTTCATTTTAAAAGATGTAATCTTCTAGCTGAAGAGACTTAAAAACAGAACAAAGGGGGAAGAGGATCAGTGCAGAACACAATTGCAAGACTAGTTCATGTTGTGTCATCTCACAGCTAAATTAGTTGTTCAGTATTTCTTTTGGCATAGTTAAAGGAGTTTCACAACTGAGAAATGGAAGAGAAAGTGGGAGGGAAGAAGTTATGGGAGGCACTGGGTGAAGCTGTGGTGATGAATCTAAGGAAATAACATTAGAAATTTCTTCCATATTATATAGGCCACCTTGATGTAGAATGTTTCTCCCTGTCCCCTTTACTAACTTGCTGAATGCTGCAGGAGGTGGTGGTGCTGCTATGCAGTAAGAAGCTTTTCCTTGTTTCCCATCCTGCCTTGTTGTTTGGGAGTGTCTTTTGCCCATTGCTTCATTTAGATTATATGTGTGCATGCTATTGCATATAGTAGCTTTAGACAGCCAAGTTTGTTTTCCAGCACTTCATATGTGAACTTGGATTTAGCTACTTTCCAATTGATCAGGGGAGGCAACTTTTAAACATCACTATGTGTGCCTGCACACACACACACAACACACACATACACGTGGTCTCTTATCCCTTCACAGAGCAAGAGGTGGGTTTTATAAAGGCTATTCTAACAACAGCTTTTCCCCAAGTGCCCATAATTTCTAGTGTCTCTGACCATGGGTGTCTGTTAGACTTCAGGTTTTTGCTGGGTTAATGTTACTGTTAGCATGCTCCTCACATGTGCAGAAAGCTATCAGTTTCTTCTCCAGTCTTGCCTAGAAGCCTTGCTCCTAGCTAATCAGAGGCAAAGGTGTGAGCAATTTTCATTCCTGCTAATGTTCATGATGTTGTTACTCCCCTTCGATTGTGTTTATATTAATCTAGAGTTCCTTGGCACAACTGACTGTCTGAACACCTGGTACAGACTTCTGTTGGCACTAGGTGAGTTTTAGGAACTAGATCTCCTGTTGATTGATATTTTAAGTTAAAATATTTTCTGGTGAAAATGGATGTGGGGTGAGGGAGTTTGTTTTCTTTGTGTGATAGCCTTGCTTCAAATTCCTAGTGCCTTCACACTGCTGTGTTTTCTCTTGGGCAGCTGATCACTTGTAGGGATCTTTGGCTCAGCAAAAAGGAAACACTAAAATGCCTTGAGTTTTGACAGCACTGTCTAACAGCTAAGTGCACGTATGTGTACATGCATGCACATCCTCAGCTGTAACAGCTATTGAAACTCCTGCCCAATTTCTCGATTTTGTCAAAGACAACACTTCAAAAATCTTCATAAAAATTGGTCAGGCAAGATCAGGGTTTCAATACCTGTGCCTTCAGCAGCTTCTGGTTCCATGGATGTGCAGCAGAGACTGAGCAAGCACAGAGCTGTTAGATTCTGTAGGGGAAAGGGTGTCAGGAAAAGAAGCACTCCTCAGCTCCAATACACTGTGCCCAGAAACATCTATGTGGTACTGATTAGGCACCCTCTCTATGAGGGAGTCTGTTGATTAGTTTTCAAGCCCTATTCCCCAGGGGACAGGGGAGGTATGAGCTTGAGTATACTGTTTAGGAAGAGATACTGCAATGAAGCTGTTTTGAATGTTTTTTTTGTTGCCACAAATACTGATAGTCTCAGAAACTGTGCTTTGGGGTCGCTGCATGTGGTGCAGGATTTTTAGCTTGGTTTTCTTTAAGAAAACCATTTAATATTCTCACTACTTTACTCCAAAGAAAGTATGTGGAGGGAGGGTAATGGCTATGGCTAGGAAACTGTCTTGAGTCATGCAGCTGGAGGGGACTGGTCACTAGTTTGTTTTCTGCCTTTTTGTTGGGTTTTTAGTTTTGTTTTTAACTATGATGCTTCATTTAAACTGCCAAGGTTCTTGTAAGACTAAGCACCATCCTCTCACCTTACAGACTCCAATGTCCACTTAAAACCAACAAAGCTTCAAAGTGTATTGTGTTGGCACAGCAGCTTTCTTTTCCTTGCTGTGGAAGAGTTAAACTTCATAAACAACTTAATATTTTGTATGAGTGACTTGCAGTTAACCCACAAATAATAGGGAAGATTTTATTTCACAATGAGACTTGTGCTGCCCCCCCCCCCCCCCGCATTGAAGAGATGATACAGCAAAGCTGGTATGTGGTGTTTGTTTCTGACACCTTCTGTTCCCTGTCCTTCATGTAGGCATCTGCCAACTCAAAATCAGCTCAGCTCTAGGTGGAAAAAAGCAGGCTTTCTTTAAGAGAAATCTTATTATCCTGGACTGAGAGACAGCTTTTGAGCACCACAATGAAGACTTGAGCATTTGCACTGTGTCCAATGTAGGTTTTTTTTGAAGGTGTGGGCAAATAATTGGTGCATTTGACTATTTTGAATGTCTTGCATTACTGTACTGCCATGCCAGGATAGGTCTTGTTTAAGAAACTTTCACTTTTGCTCTGAAGTCATGATGTAAAGTAATGAAAGGAGTCAAAAAAACCCAAGTAATTTTCCAAGACTGTTTTGTATTTCATTACTTGTTCTGTTCTTGGGCTGTTTATTTTTTTTTTTCTGGGATTTTTTAGCTGGTTTCTATTTTGTTGTCTTGGGTTCTTTAACCCTACACTCATCAAAGGAGATGTGAGTGAATAAAACCCTCTTAAAAACTTCATTTATAAATGATGGAGCAGAGTTGTGAGTAGTCTTGCAGTCCGGTAGCCTGGTGTTAGAGAGGGGCAAGTGTGACAGGAGACAGGAGAGAGAAACTGTTTACACTTGTGTGAAAGGAAGTGGTATGTGCAACTTGCATCAGACTCCCTTTAAGAACATGGGGTTTTATCAAGTCGTTCTACAGCCTCTTTCCAGGACAGAACACTTCCTGCTCTCTATTGACAGGGAGCTTATCCTTGCTATCATCTTCCAGAATCCTTCAGATCAAAGAATGTATGTCTTGTGGGACTCTGTTTTGTCTCTTGATCATTTACAATGGCATACACTTATCACATTCTCAAAATGCTTCTGTCTAACAGCACTAAACTTGGGTTGTATCTTCTAATGGGCAAGGTTTAGACCAAGTGCCATTTGTGAATTTGGTCAAAGAAATAAGATATTTATTCTGTTTTGGGATTTGCTTGTTCAGAAAGCATGTAGCATATTCTGTTTCTGGAGCTCTTAGTTGATGGTTTGCTTCTCCTTCTTCAAATTAGAGGTTAAAAATCTTAATTGAAGAGGAGAGTACTCAAATATCTTCTGGATGCAAAACTATCTGTCAAACATACATAATTCAAAATATACTAACTATATATGTCCTTATGGGGTCTCATGTCCCTAGACACTTTCTGGAGTGACCTCACACTCCCACAGGTGACAGTAGCTAGAGGCCAAGACAGAACAGCTACTGTATCCCAGCAGGAAAATGGATTAAAGATTTCCCCTGAGAAGTGACTTACCATCAAGGGTAACATGAAAGCTTGTTGCTCTAACAGGAAGCCAATTACAAATCTCTCTGGTGATGATTGACTTAACTCCAGCATAAAGATTTAAATCTTGACAAGAACAGTCCAGCGTTTCCCTATGGAGCCTCTCAAGTTGAAGATATGGGGAATATTATTTTAACACTAATATCTGAACCATACAGTAAGTGATTGTTGTGAACAAGTTTTTTTTTTTTCTTGCTTGTTTGGTTTTACTGCCTGTCCTGTATGCTGAAGAAAAAGAAAATAACTTGTGCTGTATTTCATAGACCACAGATTTTCAGATCCAGAAAGAGTAAACTACAAGTTTGAAAGTGGGCCATGGTAAGTGCTTTCTCCCTCTTCTTGCTGTGTGCACATACCCTACCAGTCTTGCAAATAACTGTTACCATTGTTTTATTTATCTTGCCACTGCTGTGGGAATCGATTAGGTGCTTTAAGTGGGAAAAGGAACAGATAATCTATGATGAGAGGCAAGCCAGTTTTCTTGGGACACTTGTTGCCTGTTAACTGCTGGTCGTTCTGGGTCGTGCTAGTAAATGCTTATAATGGGTGTTAAGTGTGCTGTTAACAGAGAAGTAAGCATTTTTGCAGAGTAACCCTGTTGGTACCAACTCTAAGATTCTTTCTGCAATTTGCGTCACAGTTATTGAATATGCATCATGCTTTTTTTTTAATAGGGAAGAAATATTTCCATAAGGATGCTGTACTACCAGTAAATTGTTTGAGCTATGATTGTCTTCTTCCTGAATAGATTTTAAACCTAAAGTGTTCAGTACTTTTGATTACTGTTTTGGTGGCTTTTTTTTTTTTTTTGGGGGGGGGGTGTGTTTTGTTTTTCTGTAATTATACTTTTATGTGTGATTACAGGTTTTTCTCAATGGTTTGCTGGATACTCCCTTGATGGTATTACTTGTACACCTGTCTTGCATGAATACTTACTTCCCTTTTCCAGATTAAGAAATTTATCGTAATGGTAGATGATGCTGGTGCATCCAAGCCAAAAAAAAGCAAGAAAAGAATACAACAATGTTGACAGAATGTATCCAGTAAGATTAGCTCAGGGTTTGTTTTACCATGGCCATAAGCTTTTCCCCTTTCAATAACAAAATCCTGGGGTCAGGTGGAAGATTCACATTTTATTTTTGCTGGTGAGAAGTACAGAATTAGGAGGTGAGAGGGAGCAGCTTGAGACAGACACCTATAGAAAGGCTATCCAAGATATTAAAGAGAAACATGACCCTCCTGTAACAAGGTGTACCACAGCCTTTTTGTGCAAAAAAAAAATCCTCTGCTGCTGAACAAGACTTGATCTGCTTAATCAATCATATAGTCTCTTCTGTGCAAAAACATGTCTTTGCAATAGCCAGAAAGGCAGCCTTGGGTAGCTGTGAGTATATTGTTATATGTGGCACTTTTAACAAGTAACAGAACAAAAGAGGCTGTGGTAATGACCAATTAAACATGGCTTTCTGTGGCTGAGCTATTCCCATGCTAAGCAGCCAGTGTAGCCTGTAGCTATATTAGTCTCTAGTAGCGAGGTGACGGCTAAACAAGCAATGTTAAGGCTAAACACTTTGGGCAGGAGTCCTCTGTGTGCTGAATATAACCCTGAACAGATTTCGTCTTGGCTTGTAACTGGCTCTTACACATGATTACAGTACAAAAAATAAGCATTGACCGCAGTTGCATCTAACTGATCTGTTTCAATTTCCACCTAGCTGAGATTAGAATAGCAAGTGCTTTATTTTATACGAGTAACACTGTTCAGACAGTGGAGAAGCACAAACCATTGGTATGTCAGGAGTGGGGAATAAATTGTGAACATGATCAAAGAAATCAGAGCTCAAGGAGCAAATGTGGTGAAGCAGGAAAGGGGAGGTGGGAAAGGACCAGACGCTTCCTGAGGAGAAACACATGCAGTGGCTTTGGCACTTAGCCGTTGCTGTCCTGGCAGTCCCATCCAGTAGACGTGAAACGGGGACTGAAGCACAGGTGACAAGCAAGGAGAGTGTTGCATGTCAGATGCTAAAGGTAAATGTGTCTGTATTACTCCCTCTTTCTGTCTGCAGCAGCAAGATGGAACTTGTGGATGACAATGCTGTTATCCGAGCAAGAGGATTGCCCTGGCAGTCATCTGACCAGGACATAGCAAGATTCTTCAAAGGCCTAAATATTGCCAAGTTAGTAACCAAGAATTTACTTAAGCATTTGTAGTGCTTTGTCTGTGTCGGTCATAGAGTTCTCTCTCTCTTGATTTAAATCTTCAGGGGAGGTGCTGCTGTCTGTCTTAATGCCCAAGGTAGGAGGAATGGGGAGGCTCTCGTGAGGTTCGTAAGTGAAGAGCATAGAGATCTAGCCCTACAAAGGCACAAGCATCACATGGGAAATCGATACATTGAGGTGTGTGACACTGGCTTTGAGATGCTCTTTGTAACAGGAGTTCAAATAGCATGCCAATTATGTTCTCTTTTCTTTCTTTAGGTATACAAGGCAACAGGTGAAGACTTCCTTAAAATTGCAGGAGGTAATTTTTAGTGGGTAGGAATGACAGTGGGCTCCATCAGCATCTGCAGTGTTGGGCTATAAACTGCCCTTATTAGATACGGGTTTTCATTTTCTTTCTTTAAACAAGTAGCTATCTGGTACATTGATTACTATGTACTCTGCTAGCAGCAGTCTAAGGCATTCTGTGATTTATCTGTCCATCTTTCTCTTCTATATTCCTTCCATTTTCAAGCAGCCTATCAAATAAGGATTTGATCAGGCAAGATGATGACCTTGGATGTGAACTTAATTTGGTAGCTCATCTTAACTGAAGGAACCTAAATTTTATTGATTACTAAAAACCGAAGCCAGAGTATTTTTGAAAAACAATAACTGTTGTTGCTGTGGAGATTTGCATGTAAAAGCAAACGGATATCACAGTGTAAATAACAAGGGTGTGCCTGGCACAACCAAACTTTGGAGAATGAGCTGGGTGTAAGTGAAAAGACCCACATGAAGAGGTGAAACTCTTTAGGAGCTAGCTTTGGTTAGGGTAGTATTATAAAGGATATTATAGGATATATTATAAAGGATAATAAATATTATACATGTCAGAGGTCTTCTCCTAGAGATACTGAAAGTGGAACTCGCCAACTTTGACAGTTCTGTCGGCATGATGAAATTCCTGGGCATGTTTTCAACATGTCCTTCCAACTTTCCCAGCACAGTGGTCTGGGTACTTGGCTACTATATATTATGGTTTCAGAGCATGATAAAGGTATTCCTAAATCAGAAAGGCAAGGTGTATGATAGCAGAGGTAGTCCTCATGCAGAAGATTCACAGACTGTGCTTTCCTTGAGCTCTGAACTTTAAGTAGTTTTTTACTTTCCCTTTGAATAAGGATAAATCTCTTCCAAATGGAGTAACATTGTTAGACTTTAATGGGAAATGTCCTATACAATATTTCTAGTTTATTAAATGGGGGGAGAGGGGTGTTATTTACTTTGGAAGCAAATATTGCTCTACCTGCTGTGTTCTGTCTTTGGGGAGGAGGTAGCTATGCCAGACTTGCTCATGATCTTTTATGATCACATAGACTTAAGTGCTTCTGCATATTCTTTTGTTAAAAGGTACTTCCAATGAGGTTGCACAGTTCTTGTCAAAAGAAAACCAAGTGATTGTCAGGATGCGAGGTCTTCCTTTCAACGTTACAACAGAAGAAGTGCTGACATTCTTTGGCCAACACTGCCCAGTAACAGGAGGAAAGGAAGGAGTCCTGTTTGTCACATACCCTGATAGCAGGCCAACAGGGGATGCCTTTGTATTGTTTGCTTGTGAGGAATATGCACAAAATGCACTGAAAAAGCATAAGGACTTGCTGGGGAAAAGGTACATTGAACTCTTCAGGAGCACTGCAGCAGAAGTTCAGCAGGTGGGTGTAAATATTGCAAACATTGGTTTCTTGTAATCCAAATTCCTACACTGGCATACAGTAGTGGAAGCAAATGCTACTTGGCCATGATTTGAAAGCTTTCTTCTCCTTCTCTCACTCTTGACTCTTGCTGGAAGAAGCACTGTCTGAATTTCCATGAGGTTTTGCTCCTTCTAAATGTAAGATTTCATGGCATGTGGATGTTCTCAATCATATATGCGTGTGCATACACTTACACACGCATACAAACCTTTGGGGTTTTGGCTTTCAATAGCCTTGCAAACAGCAGTTATAGCAGAAAGTTTATGTAGGTCTAGTGCTTTACACTACAGATACTGAATTTAAGTCCAATGCTGTTCTATTCAGGAGGAAAGTGAGCAACAAATCTTGATCTAAAAGACTTATCTTTACTCACTGGCACAGAAAAACAAAACCTTTTGATGTAGCTGTCTTCAGGGCAATGTATCTGAAGTCTTACAAATTGCCTCTAAGGGCAGTTCTTAGCTACCTTCTGCTACCACTGGCGGTCTAGCAGAGGGTGGCAGGACTTTGTGAAACTGGGCCTGAAGAGTGCCTCCTCTTGCATTAACATGGCTTTATGGACCATTAAATTTAGTTATGCTGTCAGAGTAAGGAATTAGAGCTGAGAGGATTTTTCTCTGAAGATTTGTAGAGCTGCAGTTGATGTCACAAACTTCTAAATGTGATTCTAAAAGGTCTCATCTGTAATGCAAATACAGTCAAGCAGTACCCATGTCCTTGTAACCAAGTGATGGTGCAGCTCTGTTCCCCCAAATATGTAGAGATTCCAGTGCCTTGTCTGAAGGGTGACACTTGATGATGAGAACGCATAGCTGCAGCACTTGTCATTGTGTTTTTTTCTCAACTGCTCTCATTTCTTTGCTTAACAAAACCTTGATAACTGTATAAATGCGCATGAACTTTAATCTTGCTCAGAGTCAAAGGCTAGTGACTATTTAGTGAACTCTTGACCAGGCCAGGCTTTTATTGTTAAAATAGTAAGAAAAAATGTCAAAGCGTGACTGTGACTCAGTACTACCACCTAAATTACTTGATGGACTATTGCATCTCAAGGCAGGGCTGTTTAGTAGTGATACAGCTTCTAGATCCCAGACTCTCCTAAAGTTTTGTTGAGGAGTTACTCTGGGTAGAAGTGTCACCATGACCATACATAGTAGAATTACTCTTTTTGCTATTTTCCTAATAAAAATGCTGTAGAAAGACAGATTTCATGTTCTAAGAAGTTTTCTGAGAGTTGCACAACATTTTGAGTAAATTTTTCAAAGCAAAATTATGTTTTTTAAGAAAAAAAAGCCTAAATATTTACTTTAAATATTGGATTCTAAGCACTGCTTTTGTTGTTCAAGCCCAGAATCTAGCTCACTTTTTTCCTTGAAATACTGCCCAAATTGAAAACAGATGGCATTGGTGTTGTATTCAGTTCCTCTGAGTTGAAAGATAAGTAATCTTTCTGTAACCTCTGTTTTTCTTGTTTGCACAGGTGCTGAACAGGTACTCTTCCACGCCTCTCATTCCTCTCCCAACACCTCCTATTCTTCCAGTATTACCTCAACAATTTGTGCCTCCCACTAATGTCAGAGACTGCATACGTTTGCGTGGTCTTCCCTATGCTGCTACTATAAGGGACATCCTGGAGTTCTTGGGAGAGTTTTCTACAGATATTAGGACCCATGGAGTTCATATGGTACTAAATCACCAGGTAGGCACCAAGTTTCTAGCCATTTTATGCCAATTACTCTGTGTGTATGAACAGAGTCCTTCTGATGGTTACAATAGAGAAGCACCTTTGGGATTGACACTAGTGGCCTTAATTGGCCTCTAGCTCTCCTCTGAAAGTACTGGCAATAGATATGTTGGCTTATTTGAACCCTGCTGTGCCAGCTGTTGCATTTGCTCTAGAGCAGTTTCTGTTACTGAGACCCATGTGCTTAAAGCTAAGCCACAGTCCTGGAGGGATTTGTGCTCCCAGAGCAGCAGCTGTGATCCTGCACTGCAGGAGGCTGGAACTGAAGAGTCCTGCTCAACAACATGCCTAATTCTTGTACTAGGCAAGAAGTATCTTCAAAACAAGTGTGGACAGGGTTAGCTCTCAAAGGAGGGGTTTGCACCTACCTTGCTGAACAATATGCTTTGGGTACATTTGAGGACAACTGTGACTGTGGCCTTTTTAGACAGGATTTCCTATGGCATAAGTCAATATGAAACCTTGGGTTTCCTGAACTGTGTGCTTGCTTTCTTTAAACAGTTGCAGCTATGCGCCAAGATTAACAGCTCATTGATGCCTGTAAACAGTCACATCTTTGCCATTGTTTTCTGGAAGTAGCTCCTACCAAAACTTTTTTAGATAAAGGGGATGACAACAATGCACAATCCTCTATTTGCAGTCTTGTGACTTTAGGGGGAGGAGACTGCAGCTCCTTTAACTCTGAAGATGCCCTGAGCGGTTCCACTGATTACACTGACCATTGTGATGTAAAAGTGGTTCTTCTAAATGGTTTTGGTTGACACTAAGCCTAAAGTGAAACTACAAAATACTTCCTTGTCCTGGAGTAAGGGTTCTGCCCTTTGAGAGTGTGGGGAGGGAGAAGACACTATAGCTATTCCAGTACCTTCATTTGAAGCGATTCCTGTGTCTGAGGAAGTGATGTAGCCAAGGTTGGAAAATCTGAGGAATGTGCAGGGCTGGGAGAGGCTAAGAAAAGATGCAGATGTTACAGCACAAGTAATGGTTTACAGTAGTATCAGCTCTTGCCAACAATAAAGAAAGAACTTTGAAGACACTGGTGTATGTATGTAGTCCTGAGGGCTGTCTGCTAACCCTGCCCAAAGCTGTCAGACTTATTTTTCCTCCAGATACTGCTTTTGTCTGATCAGTAGTTTCTTTCTGCATGCTCCCACCATTCCTGGTTTCAACCATATAATCATGAACAACTGTACAAAGGATGGTGATGAAGTTGTTCTCCCCTCTGAAACTAGAAGAACTGACCTAGAACTTCAGTTAGAGCTAACTCCAGTTTTGGCTACTTCAAGTCAGAAGCTGCATGTTGCTAAAATTACTCCTCCCAGTTGTGTATCCTACTCATCTACAGCTAATGTAAGGGTGTCATTGTTTGTTGGTTTTCCTCTGCACTCTCATACAAAACCTTAGGCTAGTACCCTTCTAAAGCATCCTAGCCTTAATAAAAATTATTTAATCTTTGACACTTGCCTGTATTTATCCTTGAATCTTAAAAATCCTGGGTAATAAATGTGGATTAAATCTCCCAATTCTGCATACTTATTGAACTGGTAAGAGCAGATCTCAGAGCACCCAAATACCCCTGAACTGCAGTCTCTGCCATAGATGTTATTATTTTTTTTTAAAGGTAGAAGTAACAGCAGTTTTATTGAAACAGCTAAATGAATACAGTCAAGTTAGCACAAGTGGGAAGAATTTTAGGGAGGAGAACTTAAACATGCTGATGGGTGTTCATGTAGGCTAGTTGATTTGGAAGTGGATATATTTATGGTTGAAGAGACTTTTTAACAACACAAATTACTGCTATTCTGCTACTTTATAGGAGAAACATTTCCTGTTTTCTGGCCTGTTTGTAGGGACGTCCATCGGGAGATGCTTTTATTCAGATGAAATCTGCAGACCGAGCTTTTCTGGCTGCACAGAAGTGTCATAAGAAGACTATGAAGGACAGATATGTTGAAGTCTTTCAATGCTCTACTGAGGAGATGAACTTTGTATTAATGGGGGGCACTTTAAATCGAAATGGCTTGTCCCCACCACCATGTAAGTTACCATGTAAGTTTTGCATGGGTCTTGCCAATCTGCTATGCTGAGTGCGGGTAGGTGTTGGAGCTGCTTTGTTGACTCTGATTCTGGTTCTTTGAAAGGAATGTCAGGTGGGGGTATTAAAATAAGATCTTTTCATCTTGAATCAGCAGCAGCTTGCAACCATTATTTTTCCCTTGGGTTGTGAATTACTATAACTGAAGAACTACTTTAAACTTGCTTTTCCAGTGGCAAACTTAACTTCCCTTCCCTTCCCTGAAACTTAACTTGGCCAGGGTGAGCCATGACAAGAAGGAATTTGTAAGCCCTGCCTAGGCTTTAGAACTTAAAAAACTGTTTCCTATTTACACTAATTCACATTTACATTTTTCATCATGGTGAACATGTCAAGTACAAGCCCTTCCCCTTTCACTTCCAAAACTTAGTTTATGAAAACATTGGTAATGTTTCCCTTTGGGAATTAACTATAAATGTTCTGCCTGTTGAACCACTACTGGCTGAACTCTTCTTTTGTTTTTTGCTGTTTGTATGAAATTGTGATTGTCCATGTGGTACACATAACTTTGGCCTCAGATAACTGCAGAAATCACATTTCATGTGAAACTATGCTACTCAGAGCTACTAGAATGAACATGGACTTCTAGACAAATGTCTGGGGGAAATGCTTTAAGAGCTTAAGGGCTAATTTACTAAGCATATGTGCCATATAAATCTGAGCCTATGGGAAAAATAATACTTTGCTTCCAAGATCATAAATGGCAAGGTAGCAGGAGCTTTCTCTCTGTCTCCATGCAAATGTATTACTGTTCTTGGTGGCTGTTTAAGAAGTATCCTCAAACCTAGTCAGAGGTGCCAATAAGGCAGCAAACTTCTTGGGTGTGGTTCCTTTTGAGTCTGAGTAGATCTTCAGCTAATCCTTGGGAGATGGTTTCCAGGTGACCAGCTCTTTTCTTTTAATGCAAGTATCCTTCTGAGCAGGGATCTGCAGTACATAGTACTGTATGTGACAGTTGTTCCAGACAGGTTGGAAGCTTCTCGTGGGATAGGCTCTTGAGCAGAGTCCCAGACTGTGGGAACTCAGGTGGCAGTGTTCCCACTTCCAATTACAAATGCAAGGGATGTCTTCCTCAGAGAAGCCCTTTCAGCTCTGTACCTGGCCCATCCCATAATGCAGAGAGGGTCTGACTAGCACTTAAAGGAAAATCTCTATTTTTTGCTGTTCAGGGTTATCTGAAGCTTTATATGTTCACTTTCATGATAAATGTGGGGAGAGAAAGAAGGAAGAAAAGTAGAAGAGTAGCAAAGGAGGTGGGCTAACTCTCAGCACTGAGAATTCATTTAAGGTCTCATGTCTTGTTGAAAACTCGGTGTTAACACTTGAGGCTGCAAAGCCACAACTTTCTTCTCGCTGCTGTTTGTTAATTGAAGACAGAGCTGTTTGGGGAATAGGGAGTGTTGGGATGAAAAGGTGCCCTCTGCTCTGGGGAATGTTAGGTAGATCTTTAGCATAGAAGTTTCCTTCTTACAGTTCTTGATTGGAGACTTCATAAAATCTGAGCCTAGACAAGAAAAACTGGACTTCTCTTCAGAAAGAGGCTCTATTCACAGAGCAAGAGGTGTACTACTTATTTTGTTGGGGGCTGGGTACAACAGTTGTAGTCAAGCTCATGTTGGTAGCTCAGATTTATTTTCTGCAATGAGCAAGAGAATGAGAACATTGTGAAGGCTCCCTACATACTGCAGAGTTCTTCAACTGATAAAGACCACACATATGCTTGCATTCAAAAGGTCCTAATTTCTTTTCCGTTTATTTCCTTTAGGCCTTTCACCCCCTTCTTACTCCTTTCCGGCTCCCACTGCAGTTGTGCCAACAGAAGCTGCTCTGTATCAGCCATCTATGCTCCTGAACCCACGAACACTCCAGCCCTCCACGGCGTACTACCCTGCTGGGGCTCAGCTCTTCATGAACTACACAGCGTACTACCCCAGGTAAAGCAGAGGAGAAACCAAGCAGGAGCAAAGAAGTCTTTTTTGCAGCAAATGCACAAAGCTCACAAAAGAACATTGTCTGCCACGCTAAAGGCTTGTGCTACCAAGAGCAGCTTGTTCGGTATCTTGTTCAGGGAAACAATTTCAGGATATCTAGGAATTTCCTAAGTTTTAGAGTATGTCAGGTAGTAATAAATTTTTATTTTTTTTTTTTTAACAAGTTACACAGTTACATTGGGATTTTTTTGTTGCTGTTTTGTTTTGCTTTCACCTAACATGCCTCTTAAACTTGTTACCTTGCATTGTTGTGCCCTCAGTGGGAGTTGGTGTGTGGATAGGGACACCCTTCCCATGTCCATAAAGAAGACCTTGGCCCTCTTTAGAATGGGTGGATTGGGGTCTGTTCTAACAACTTCTGAAATTCTGCCTCCATTTTTTGTAATAAAGTAACTTTTGACCTTTATGGTCGAAACTTTATTATTTATGGAAGTACTGTATTAACATGTATATGTAGTGAATGCATATGTAAAGCATATAGAGGTATACATTGTTCCTGACCTCAGAAACACTTCTCATGAAGGGCTTTTAGTTCTTCTGGATGTATTAGCTATCTTCTACATAACAAAAACTCCTGATACCATTTGCTCTCTGCAGTCATGAGGCCTTGGGAAGAGCAATGCTCCCTGCAAGCCATAAACCACTCCATCTGTCAGGAAAACCTGCTCAGCTCTTCTAATAGATTCTGACCAGTGCCTTTTGTCTCTGGAGAAGGGCCCAAAAAGCTACTTGTGAAGTTGTTGAGCAATATGGACTCTCTAGTACCTGTAAGATAACAATGGTTTTATTACTTTACACTAAACCAGAATGTCTGTGAGCTGCCTATTGTGATTTTTGTTGTTTTGGGGTTTGTTTTTTGTTTGTTTTTTTTTTAATTAAAATGTGCTCTTCACTCATGAGTTAACTTCTACAATGCCTTCAATGTCTGTCTTAAGGTTATAATCATGTTACTAAACTCAGCCTCTTTAATGTAAGATCAAGAAAAATAAACTTCTAAACCTGCACTGGCAATATAAAACAAGCTTCTCAGTAATAGATCTGTATGTCAGGAGAACATGGTAGCAGTAATTCATGTGCTAATTAAAGTAGTAGGCTGGCCACTGCAAGCAAAGTGTCAGGCCCTACAGAGATCTCTTTCTCTTGCTGAATGGGATCCCACATGAGTCCCATCACTGGGTGCTTGGGCTGTGGGCATATATTTTGGTTACAGACTGATCAATTCCAAGTCCCAAAATATCCTTTTTATAGTCTTGTCTTACTGATAGTTGATAATATTCCCAAGAACCTTCCTGGGTAGCTTCTGTGGCAGTTACAAATACTTCACTTAATGGTAAAATTTCTGCAGTTGGTTTCTTTCAGTGTTGTGAGATCTGGTGTTTGGATATTGCTTTTACAACCAAAGCAAATATTTGATCTACAAATTGTATATATGCCAATAGAAGCAGTAATCCTTCGTAGCTGATAGTTTGGGGCTTTTTGGTGGTTTTTTTCCCTAAAAAAAAAAAAAAAGGTATCATGCTTTATTGCTTTTCAGACAAGGCCTATACTTTGTAAAGGATGCAATAAGTAATTGGGTCCCTTTCATGTAGCAGTTGGAGGTCTTCTAAATGGAGTTTTCTGGTTCTGAAACATGAATTAAAAAGTTAAGTATGTGCAGCAGGAAAGAATGGGATATCCTCTGTAGTAAGTGGTGCATTTAAATGCATGTACATGGAAAAGCAATACAGAGCTAGTGGCTAATGATCAGACAATGGTTCATAAATCTAACTAGTGAATACTTATGGAAATAAGGGAAGTTTCTTTGACCTGCTGCCAAAAGGTTCTACCAGTTGTGATTTGCAAGGTCAAGTTGCCTTATAATAGCCAACTCTGTTTTCCACAGAGTCATCAACTTAAATGGTGGGGGGGAGGGAGGCATTACTCTGGTCTTCCATGTCTGTCAAATCCCTGAAACTCTTAGACTTGTCTTAATGCTTTTATAGCTTTGGTGATGAAACCTGATGGTGTAAAGAAATCGATGCCTTCCAAGCTATTATAATAGCTATAGTGAACTGAAAATGAAAAGGAAGGAGAGCAAGTTATTCAGGATCTGTCAGTCTTTGATATCTCTGTTCAGCTTGTAATTATACCTGGCAACATGTTCTGACAGCAAATCAGTGGTCTCGGTCCCTGCCTAATCCCAGGCCTTTGAGAAAAGAACAATAGGATTCATGGGAGGAAAGAGCTTCTTTCCTTATCTAATCCTGAATAAATATGTATACTTGTTGCGGTGTATTCATGTACATTGAAAACAGTAACTGTGCTACTTGACAACTGCTAACATGTTCTGCAGAAACTTTTACCATACATAGACTTGAAAGTTCCTGCTACAGGATATGTGGTTTTAAAACAAAGTTAAGTCTTACTGTATTCATTCAGTTCCAATGCCATTTTGATCACTTAGGCAGTGCCTTTAAACCCCTAGAAGTTTCTGTCAAAATCCATGATTGTAAGGGCTTAAACTTTGGGGTGTTTTGTTGTTTTGTTTTTTTTTTTTAAACAGTATTTTGAGCAGTGAGTTGGAAAGAGGAGCTTCTTAGGGAGTAGTAAGTTGATGAAACTTGTAGCCAAAATTGATGTGGAAGCTGAAAACTGATGGGGGTTCCAATAAACTGGGTAAATTGAAGAGCAGGAAATTCACTGTGAGTTAGTGAATACAGAGAAACTACATCTGGCTCAGGAAGTCCTTGAACTCAAAATAACTGGAAGAGTGTTCTTATATTCTGTGTCCTATGGTAAATTCTTGTGCTATCAAATCAAGGTGGATATGCAAAGTTGTTTGTTTGCACCTTTGAAGTAGTACTTGTCTTCAGAGATAAAGGTACTGCTTGTGAGCGTGGGCCTTTTCCGATGTGTTTATAGTTGTATTCAGCTGTGCTAGTAATAGTGTCTAAGTTTGAGTGATCTCTGTTCTCTCAGTGTACATACAGTTCTCCCTTGGAGTTACTTGAATGAAAAGGTCTGTTTTATGCAATAGTTAAAGACATGATTCTCACAGTTGCTGCACAAGGAGATAGAAGGTAATTTGTTACTGTCTTCATCTGTCTGCTTCTTCCTGCTATGGATCAGGTATGTGTTTTTTCGTTATACACTAATCAACTTGTAAAAGTATTTATATATGGAACATAAGTATAACATTAACATACATGCGTACGTCAGTGTGTGTATAAGAATAAAATGACCAAGGTTAGAAAAAATCCTCCTTAATGACCATCATAGAGAACAAGTGACTGGTTGTTTTTGGTTTTGTGTTTTTTTTTTTTCCTAACATTGGTCATTGCTTGGATCCATATTGAAGCACAACTAAGTTACAAGTATAAACTGGCAAAGCTAGGAACAAGTGGGCTAGATTAAGAGTGATACCATTCAGAGCTGCTGGCAGCAACTTTATTTATGTATCTGTGTGCTTGGCTAACCAGCATCCCTTGACAGAACTGGGTTAAGAAACCCAGTATGTATATTTTGCCTGGGAGATCTGTCACAGATGGAGAACAGCAGCAGCCAGAACTAAAACCTCTTCATCAGCTTAGCTGTACTGTTAGTAACACTCAGGACCACAGCTCCTAGACTAGTAGTTTCTTTTCTTATTTTAAGTATGTCATCTTGGATTGCAGGAGATCACATCTGCAGTGAATGGGCTGACTGAGCATAAAAGCCTACTGGTGGTTTTTAGCTGCTGTCCAGCAAATGGAGTTCACAAACTTAGAGCAAGTGGCAGAATTTGGGACTGTGAAGTACCATGGCTTACAGTGAACTGGTCTCCAACATGGATTTCTTAAAGCAAATGTCAACTCTTTAGTTAATGACACAAACCTGTCACCAGAATGATTGTTTTGGGGGAAGACTTAATGATTCACTTTTCCAAATAAAATTAGCTTGCCAAGGTTTAGAACAGCAGGGATGCCTTTAACTACTACTGTACTTCATTGGGGGAGGCATGTATCAGCAGGGAAGAGTAATTGTTGCATGCCTCCATAGGCTGTCATTATTTCTTCATTTGTAGGTTCAATTAGTAAAGCTGCATGGTGTCTGAAAAGCAGCAGAAGTGTGATGCTCTGGTCAATAGACATCTGGGTATCAGGATGATACAATTATTTAAACTGGTCAAAAAAAAAATCCCCCTTTTCTTCCAAGTTGATAAATCTGTAAAAACACTGTTGCTCATAGCAGTGTCCAAGATGTACTCAATGCACCATATGAAATGCCACCATGAATGCTGGTGGAGGTTCTTCTACTTGCAGATCCCAGTTCCTTTTGTTTGCTTAGTATACTGAATGATTTTATGTTCAGTTAGCAGTGCTTACTGTCACCTTCTGACTTTATAGCTGGATGAGTATGAAGGGTTAACTGAAACAAGAACATTGTGCATAGCTGCCGAGATCACTTTAAGTACAGTTTTTTCTTTTGCTTATTTACAACACAGTTCAGTGGTAGGAGAGAAGATTTTCCTGTTGTGCCTCAAGACCCATGCAGGTGGCTTTTTTAAACATTTGCAGTGTTAGCCAGGTGATCTTGGGTTATTCAGGGTGCAAAGACATGTTGCTGAATGATTCCCTTTACTTAGCTCTCTATAGGGGTGTGTTGAAAATCCTGACACTAATCAGTATACCATTACGGTGATAGCAGTTCCATTCTGTGGCAGCAAGCACTTCTGGCTCTGTTCCCATTGCTCAGTGTTGTTGAGCTACACTTGTACAGATGGAAAGCTGATTGCAGCAGGCAGACTGGTTAGATATGCATTGAGTGGGCAGTAGGTTATCTGGTTAAACTTGGGTATGGAATATGTACCAAAGGAGCTTTTGGTGTTTCCGTGGGTAGAGTTGGCTTCATCTTGGAATAAGGCTCCTTAGAGCTGATTAAGCTGTATTCATAGGGGTCTAAATGTTTCTATTGATCAACAGATGAGCTGATGACTTAGCACTCATAATTTGACAAACAGCAGAAGTATATGGCCTTTCCTTCTTGAAATGTGGATAAGCATTCCAGTCTTGGAAAAGGGTTTACATTATTCTGGTTATGTAAACACTTTTGCTAATAGCATGTCTTACTGGGTTTTTGTGAACAAAGCACCATGTTAAAATTTTCAACTTGGGTAATTATACCACAAAATGTACATGTTTTGCCTCCCTCAAACTTTGTATGAACCACTTCTAAAAAAACCTTTATACTGAAGCCTTTATGCTAAAGCTCTACTTCCTATATTTAGCAAGGGGGGAGGCTAATTTAATCTTAACACTAAATAATGAGTCCAGCAAGTTATTCCCCTTCCCTTTTTCTCTTCCATGACTTTTCCTTCTGATGTTTCTCCGAGTAGTATGGTGACGGATATGTAATAAGATTAACCTGCAATACAGGACCTGCCTTACAGTCCTGAAATTAATAGAAGCTGTCTGTCAGTGGCCTGATGAAAGGGTGTCTTTGGTATCTATTGCTACAGAGGAGGAAATAGTTAATACTTAAACAAAAATCTTCTTCAGGACTACAGAGAACAAAGTCATAGGAAAAAAATGGATAGAAAATCTGCAGGGTGGGGACGGAAACCTGTAGATGATGTCCATGGACACATCTGTGTGCAAACGGTGCTCAGTATGTCTGGCTCTCTTGACTGACCTGAGGGATACTTGGCAGCGATCTGTAAAACCTGCTTGGTTATGTATTCTGACTGTTCCCAACTCACACTCACTTTTAACATAAACCACAGCTTCCTTCTGGATGTTGGTATCTGCTAAGCAAATGTATAATGGAAAAATATATTAGGAAATCAAACAGGAGAGAGCGTGAGCCTCCATGTTTCTACATAATATTTTAGTGATGATTGTTTGGGATCCCTTGAGGTGCATAAATGCTGTTTGAATGTCAACATAAGCCTTTAGAACATGCAAAAACTTGTTCTTGCATCCAGAACTGATTTCTGGAATTTAATTGTTTGATTTTGAGAGTCTTTGGAGAATTCCACAGTGTCAGAAATATTGACTGGAAAAA